CTAATAATGCACTAACAAGTAGAAAATAAATTATACACTACCATTTATATAACTAAATCTACTTGTTAGTGCATTCTAACATAAAAGCTTGTAACTAAAACGTTTTTTTTTCTGATTTTTTTTTTTTTTTTTTGTCTTTTCTGACAGAGGGTACTTTGAAAATAAATACAACTTAGTTTTATAATATTTTCTAGAATTGCTGAATATTTTAATCTATTAAATGTAATAGGTCACGTGATCGTGAATTTCGTCGTCAGTGTCAACGATATAGATCTACGGGTATAGTTAAAAGTAGAAAACCCCGCCCCATTCATGGATGGGTTGGGTTTTAGCGATGCTTTTAAATTAAACTAGACTTACCCGGTCATCCATTGGATAACTGTGGGTTTCGGGGGTCATCCATAAATGACATCACGTCTGTCACTTATCATCACAAAATAACCAGACCCCACATTCAAAAAGGCGTCACATCTCAGAGGTTTTTGTCTTTTAAAAACACTGATTTCGTCTGAGCATGGGTCTGACAACATAATCTCTTCATATGCTGAGGCACAAAAAACAGGTCAACTCTACTTCACCTACCCAGTGTCCTCCCAACTCAGGCATGTTTTTGTCTTTGAAAACACAGATTTTGGCTGAGCATGGGTCCTGACAACACTATCTCTTCATATGCTGACGTCACAGGTGAACTTTACACGTACCCAACACTACTTCACCTGCTCAGTGTTCCGCCAAGTCTCAAACAAACATGTTTTATCTTTAAAAAAAATATTTCGGCCGAGCATGGCTCTGACCACACTATCTTTCACCTGCCCTGTATCCCCGCTAAGTTCAATAGGCAAAGGCAACTTGATCATTCACAAAAAAAAATAAAAAATAAAAATACAAAATTAAAAAAGATTGCGCACCAAGTAAAACGTTTCGAAACCGGCGCCACCCGCATGGTAACCCTAATGTGCTAACCTCTAGCAGTGTTTCTTCCAGACTTTTTCCTCCGGGGGGCACTTGAAATTTTCGGGGGGGGGGGGGGGGGCGGTAGACTTTCTTCGGGGGGGGGGGGGGGGCGGACACTGTTAAAAGTATATATTTTCTATATAAATTATATAAATTTCATTTCGTTCGGGGGGGGGGCGGTAAAAATTTTTTCGGGGGGGGGGGGCTAAGCCCCCCCCCCCCCCCCCCCGAAGAGATGCCTGGAAGAAACTCTGACCTCTAGGCTCGTACTCTGGAGTTGGTAATAACCAGTAGCGTACGCAGGGGGGAGCAGGGGGAGTGGTCGCTCCCCCTCTGGCTATTTTCAGCAAAAGTGGCGCCTTTTTGGGAAACTTTTTTAATTCAAAGTTTTAAACAATGAAATTTGTTAAAAAATATTTTTGGGTCGGCACATCTATGTAAATCACAAGATTTCTTTTCATGCAGCAATTTAGCATTATTGTACTAGTCTAGTAGTGTCTACGTTTACAACACGTATTAACAGCTGCATCAGTTTTCCATTCTAAAAATAACCATTACGATGCATTGCAATGTTTAAAAAACCTCTACGGGTAGTACCACTTGGCAAGAGGGGTGTTAAGTTTAAGGCAACTGTATAAATGTATTTGCTTACGAATAATTGAATTAGAAAATGTTATACATAAAACTTCACACATAATTACTTTATATATACAGTTTGAATCGTGTGATTAATTAAATAAACCGGGAGTGATCTCCCCTAAATTTTCTCGAATATTTTTATATAAAATAACAGGGGATGGGAACTCGGGCTATAGACATGATTTTTTAATCCATTTTAAATACTTAAAGTTTTAAAAATAGAGTAAAATCTCGTAGACAAAAGAATTGCACCCCAAGTGAACGCTAAATAAAAAAAAGTGCATAAAAGTGCGCAATATTATTAGTACTTTAAAAATTTACATTAGTTTTTTTGAGAAATCGGAAGTAGCGTAAATTAGTACTTCCGTTCAACGGAAATGACTCAAAATGTAACAGAAGGTAGAGAATTAGATCTTTTACTTACATGTGAAGTTTCGTTTATCTATCTGAAATAGTACTCAAGTTATAGGCTTTTGAAAATTTCAAAGTAGGAAAAGTACCACTTCCGGTTATCGGAAATCGCTCAAACGTTCATACGTATCTACGATTTTGATAAAATACTTATATATGAAATTTTATCAACCTAGCTGTAACGGTACTCAAGTTATCGTGTTTACACACACACAGACACACAGACAGACACACAGACATACGGACAAGATTGCAAAATTATGTTTTTCCGTATCAGTGCGATTACAATACTTTCTCTATACTTAGTATATATACGAGAAAGTAAAAAAAATTACAATACAGAAACAAATACAACTGATGTGGCACCTCTATTTAAATTTACTTATGAGCAAACTGCGTAATGGTGGGGAAATTTTGACAAGGTCAACAACGTTATCACGATGAAGTAATTATATTCTAACAGTTTGGGCGATAGTGATTACGATTACAAATTATATGAAACAGTTACAACCCCCTCCCCCATGGACCCCTCTGTAAAAAAAATATTGTCATAATACCACTGCTACTTATTTAAATTTTATTTCTGTAATATATATTTGTGTAATATATATTTGTGTAATACATATGTATGTTTATAACAGTCATCTAAAAACTGACGCTATGTTCACTCTGAGTTGGTTATCTCCCCCCCCCCCACACACACACACACCTCATCACCACAATTGTGGCGAGAAAACAATTTAAAATACAGCTTTTAAAAACACTGGGGTCGTTTTTAAAAATCGTTTGACATACCTATATATAGATCTAGTATCCTATTGAATGCCAGTGTTCGAGTTTGACATACCTATATATAGATCTAGTATCCTATTGAATGCCAGTGTTCGAGTTTGACATACCTATATATAGATCTAGTATCCTATTGAATGCCAGTGTTCGAGTTTGACATACCTATATATAGATCTAGTATCCTATTGAATGCCAGTGTTCGAGTTTGACATACCTATATATATATAGATCTAGTATCCTATTGAATGCCAGTGTTCGAGTTTGACATACCTATATATATATAGATCTAGTATCCTATTGAATGCCAGTGTTCGAGTATTGATTGTGCTTGGGGTTGAGGCTAGACCTCTTACTAATGGATGAACCAATCTATCAAGTATTTGCGAGGCTACCGTCTTATTGCTAGCTCACACTCTCCCGTCTCTCACAAACTATCTCGTCTCTCATAGACTCTCCCGTCTCTCATAGAATATTCCGTCTCTCTCATAGACTCTCCCGTCTCTCACAGACTCTCCCGTCTCTCATAGACTCTCCCGTCTCTCATAGACTCTCCCGTCTCTCACAGATTCTCCCGTCTCTCACAGACTCTCCCGTCTCTCACAGACTCTCCCGTCTCTCATAGACTATTCCGTCTCTCTCATAGATTCTCCCGTCTCTCATAGACTCTTCCGTCTCTCTCACAGACTCTCGGTTCTCTCTCATGTTGATTAATTACCTGTCTGTGATTGTAATCACCTAGCTAGCCTTTAACCTGTAATCACCTAGCTAGCCTTTAACCTGTAATCACCTAGCTAGCCTTTAACCTGTGATCACCTAGCTAGCCAATTGGATTAGGAAAGGGAAGGGGAAAGGGCCAGTGTTTCTTCCAGACTTTTTTCTCCGGGGGGGGGGGGGGGCACCTGAAATTTTCGGAGGGGGCGGACTAAAATTTCCGGGGCGGGGGGGGGGGGGGGGGCGGTCACTGTTAAAAAAAAATATTTTCTATATATATTCTATTTCGTTCCGAAGGGAGGGGGCGGTACACTTTCTTCGGAGAAGCACCCCCCCCCCCCCCCCCGATGATCTGCCTAAAAGAAACTCTGGAGAGGGCGTGCTAAAAGATCGTCCAACTTTGGGACGTGAGAGAAACCATTCTATTAATTATAAGATTAAAGAAACTTTTGGACGTGAGAGAAACCATTCTATTAATTATAAGATTAAAGAAACTTTGGGACGTGAGAGAAACCATTCTATTAATTATAAGATTAAAGAAACTTTGGGACGTGAGAGAAACCATTCTATTAATTATAAGATTAAAGAAACTTTTACAGCAACACAAGTGACGTCACAAATATTGAGCGACCCAATTAGCAGTTGGTGTGTAGGCTCAGCCTTGTTGCTATGGCCACACAGAAGCATACGATCGGTACCCGGCTCTCAGGGCTATAGCACTAAGTGTGACTACTACACAGCCTACCACACGTACCAACCACACTACTGACCACACGTACCAACCACACTACAGACCATCACAATCACTGTCTCACCTTACTTAAATTGGGGGAAGGGGGGGGGGGGTGACGGTTAAATTTATTATTTTGAGAACTGTAACATGAGAAATTGATAGATCTACACTGATCACGTTTATATTCTTTACATGTGTAGGTCCACACCCCCAAAATGTGTAGGTCCACACCCCTAAAATGTGTAGGTCCACACCCCTAAAATGTGTAGGTCCACACCTCCAAAATGTGTAGATCCACACCCCTAAAATGTGTAGGTCCACACCCCTAAAATGTTTAGGTCCACACCCATAAAATGTGTAGATCCACACCCCTAAAATGTGTAGGTCCACAACCCTATAATGTGTAGGTCCACACCCCTAAAATGTGTAGGTCCACACCCTAAAATGTGTAGGTCCACACCCCTAAAATGTGTAGGTCCACACCCCTAAAATGTGTAGGTCCACGGCCCTATAATGTGTAGGTCCACACCCCTATAATGTGTAGGTCCACACCCCTATAATGTGTAGGCCCACACACCTATGTGTAGGTCCACACCCCTAAAATGTGTAGGCCCACACACCTATAATGTGTAGGTCCACACACCTATAATGTGTAGGTCCACACCCCTAAAATGTGTAGGTCCACACCTCCAACAACTTTGTGGTCCAACAACGATCTAGCTCATGTGACAGCTCATGTGACAGTTTCTAATTTTATTTTCAGAATGTGCCTGATGTGACAGTTAATGTGACACAACTGCCAGTTTATAATGGCACCAACTCTACTCTAGCATCCAGCATGTCTGACAGTGAGAAAGATCTCCGGGATTTTATGATTGGTCTCTTCTTGGCCATCGGCTCCTCCATCTTTATAGGATCAAGTTTTATATTGAAAAAACTGGGACTTTTGAGATATGCCAAGAAAGTTACCACCAGAGCTGGTCAGTTGATGAAAGTTACATGTATACATACATTTATATACATACAAATATACATACACATATTGATATAAAATAAAGACACATTCGAATGTTGAAACACATCTTTAATTAATGCAATTGGAGAAGTGTTTATGTTTTCATTTGTGTTAGTGTTGTTTGTTTGTGTTTGTAACATGAACACTCTATAAAAACATTTAGCTGCATGAAACTATCACTGCCATAGAGAATGATGTCATATGAAATGAATAGGAAAATATTATAATGAAATAATGTTAATAAAATGTTTAAACTAAGTACACAAATCAAATAAAGTAATTGATTGTAGAGTAAAAAATAGAATTAAAAATCTAATTTCCAAAATGACACACACCTCTGTTGCATTTGGGTGCAGCGAGAAGGGGTAGCACAAGACCTAACAAAGAATGTCACACGTCTGCACATTTGGCGTAGTCGGCAGGATGTAATCGAGACATTACACACATTACACAACAACAAGGAAAGAATAATCACAACACTTGGCCACATATACATATATACTAGCTTATACTAGCTTATACCCGTGCTTCGCTACAGTGTAGACATGGGCATTACCTAAGTGCACCACGTGGCGAGGGTGCAGGTCCCTGCATTGGTGCAGATATATATATATATATATAAATATATATATATATATACATATATATATATATACATATATATATATATACATATATATATATATACATATATATATATATACATATATATATATATACATATATATATATATACATATATATATATATACATATATATATATATACATATATATATATATACATATATATATATATATATATATATATATATATATATACATATATATATATATATATATATATACATATATACATATATATATATATATATTGATAAAACCATTTGATAAAACGTTTGGTTTGCTTTTGTGTCTGTGTTTATTTTTATTTACATATATTTACATATAGATTTATATAATCGCATGCATATATAGATTTCTATATATATAGATACACTAGCTGCATGCTTGTGCTTCACCATGGTGAATCTTTTTTAAATGTCCTAAGTCGGGAACAAAACAAAACACAAAAGAAAACAGAAATGCAAACATAAACACAAACGCTGTATCAAACAAACAACTGTGTATTCCAAACGTCAGCGCACTTTTAAACTTAAATATTTAACGTGAGTTGAATATCTTTTTTAAAGTACATCCCCTGGCAAAATTATTAAAATTAAACATTTTAGTTAATTAGTGTTTTTTACCCTAACGTTAATAAAATGTAAACATATTTTCTAAGAAGTAAGGAAAAATATTACTTGACACTGATCTGTTTAATATATTTTAGCAATGTGCATGTATATTTAACATATTCTTCACGCTCTGTTTTTGACGTATGCGAAAGACTAAAAACTTTGCCGCCGATAAAAATAAAGTCGTTACATAAATAGACCCCACTCCATTAATTATTTTAAGAAATTGCAATGCAAGTAAAATGCATACATAAATATATTTACAGACATACATACATATATATTTACAGACATACATTCATGTATATATATATATATATATATATATATATATATATATATATATATATATATATATATATATATATATATATATATATATATATATATATATATATATATAGACATAAATGCATACATATACATACATATATATTTATACATACATACATACACACATATATTAATATATATATATATATATATATATATATATATATATATATATATATATATATATATATATATATATGTATATGTATATATATATATATATAAATACACACATGTAATTATATATGTAGATACACACATATTATTATATATGTACATACACATATATTAGTATATATACATACATATAAACATACATACAAGAATACATACATTTTTTTTAGGTCAAGGTGGTTTTGGTTACCTGAGAGAGTGGCTGTGGTGGACTGGCATGATCCTAAGTAAGTAGCTGACCCTGACTCTAACCCTGACCCTGACTGTAACCCTGATCCTAACCCTGACCCAGACTCTGACCCTGACTCCAACCCTGACCCTGACTCCAACCCTGACCCTGACTCCAACCCTTACCTTACCCTGACTCTGACCCCGACTCTAACCCTGACCCCAAGTGGCTGGTCTCTTGGTATTGTCTTTTAGTCACACACCTCAAACTTGTGGTCTATTCTAGTGACGCTGGGAGAAATGGCAAACTTTGCTAAAAAAATGTTTTCCTATTCTAGTGACGCTGGGAGAAATGGCAAACTTTGCTAAAAAATGTTTTCCTATTCTAGTGACGCTGGGAGAAATGGCAAACTTTGCTAAAAAATGTTTTCCTATTCTAGTGACACTGGGAGAAATGGCAAACTTTGCTAAAAAATGTTTTCCTATTCTAGTGACGCTGGGAGAAATGGCAAACTTTGCTAAAAAATGTTTTCCTATTCTAGTGACCCTGGGAGAAATGGCAAACTTTGCTGCATACGCATTTGCTCCAGCCACCCTAGTGACACCTCTGGGAGCTCTGAGTGTCATCGTCACGTAAGGAATTCTGTGCTTTAAACAAATATCTATTCTATACTAAGTGAGCTCTCTTTTTAAATATGTATTCTATAAGTGAGCTCCCTTTTTTAAATATGTATTCTATAAGTGAGCTCCCTTTTTTAAATATTTATTCTATAAGTGAGCTCCCTTTTTTAAATATGTATTCTATAAGTGAGCTCCCTTTTTTAAATATTTATTCTATAAGTGAGCTCCCTTTTTTAAATATGTATTCTATAAGTGAGCTCCCTTTTTAAAACATTTTCTAGTTCTATTGTTACAATGATATCAGATCCTAATGAGATATCTTGTAAACTTATTGAGAAATGTTTGTCTCTCTAAAGTGCTGTCTTGTCTGCTCGTGTGCTAAAAGAAAAGCTGAACATCCTGGGTAAGGTTGGATGTTTCTTGTGTGTGATGGGCTCCACCATCATGGTCATCCACTCACCTAAAGAACAGGAGGTTCACAATGTGGAAGAGCTCATGCTCAAAATGAAAGAACCAGGTAAATACACCTGTCACAGGTAAACACATCTCTCACAGGTAAACAATCCTGTCACAGGTAAACAATCCTGTCACAGGTAAACAATCCTGTCACATGTGAACACATCTCTCACAGGTAAACAATCCTGTCACAGGTAAACAATCCTGTCACAGGTAAACAATCCTGTCCTAGGTAAACAATCCTGTCACAGGTAAACACACCTGTCACAGGTAAACAATCCTGTCATAGGTAAACACACCTGTTACAGGTAAACAATCCTGTCACAGGTAAACACACCTGTCACAGGTAAACAACCCTGTCACAGGTAAACAATCCTGAACAGGTAAACACACCTCACCTGTCACAGGTAAACAATCCTGTCACAGGTAAACAATCCTATCACAGGTAAACAATCCTGTCACAGGTAAATCAGCCTTTCACAAATATCATGAGATAACAAACCAAGCACAGTGAACCCATACATATAATTTATGATAAATGTTACAGAATAATTTGATATAATTTATGATAAATGTTACAGAATAATTTGATATAATTTATGATAAATGTTACAGAATAATTTGATATAATTTATGATAAATGTTACAGAATAATTTGATATATCTGTGTAGTTTACAAACTAATTTGTTGAAAACTGTGTCCCCAGCTTTCATTGTATATGGCCTAATTACCTTGATTGTTGCCATTGTCATGATTGCCTACTTTGTGCCTCGGTATGGCCAGAAAAATGTTCTCTTCTACATCACGGTCTGTGCCACTCTGGGTTCCTTCACTGTCATGGGCTGTAAAGGTGTGGGCACGGCCATCAAGGCCACCGTACGAGGGGAGAATGAGTTCACCAACTGGCTGACGTACGTCTTGATTGGCGTTGTTGTTACCTGCATCTTGCTGCAGCTCAACTACCTGAACAAGGCTCTAGACACTTTCAACACGGCCGTGGTCACGCCCATTTATTACGTTTTCTTCACTTCCTGCGTCATCATTGGCTCCGCATGTTTGTACCAGGAGCTTTTCAAAATGGCGCCCCTAGATATTGTTGGTGACTTGTGTGGCTTTTTAGTCATTGTGGCAGGCATTTTCCTGCTCAACGCTTTCAAAGACATGAAGATCTCCTGGCGGAACCTTCCGGCTGCCTCCAAAGACGCTACCCTGCCAGAGTCTGACTCAGTCAGCAGCAGCACCACCAACACCAACTACGGGGTTGATGTACGTGACATTGAGGCCCACATATCACGTAACATGTCGACTGAGTGCATCACCAGGACCATGTCAGACGAGTCAGACAGCAATGACAACGCTTACATTAACAACAGGTTTCATGGGAGCAGCCCAATACAAGATATATAGAGTGAACAGACAGGCCATGATGGTTTCATGGGAGCAGCCCAATACAAGATATATAGAGTGAACAGACAGGCCATGATGGTTTCATGGGAGCAGCCCAATACAAGATATATAGAGTGAACAGACAGGCCATGATGGCAAGTTTTATCAACGAAGACTAGTTTAGCCAGAGAGTCAGTTAAAGAGAAGACCAATTGAACATTCCATCTGTATATGTACCTACTGTTGTAGAGGGTTTCTGGGTGGGAAAGATATTCACCTGCAGTTGAGGAAAATTCTGTGGCAAAATTTGTAAGCCAAGATTTGATTTTTCTAAACTGTACAATGTTTGTGAATGATTTATTATATTTTGAGGGAGAATTTTGTAAGGTAATTTTTTTAGAACTTCTTATCATTGTGCAAATGCAGTCTTTCATTTATTGTATGTGAAGCACATCCAGTGTTACACCACGTTTACACTTTTGATATGTATACTACACACATACTACATACATGTCTACGAATAAAAACTTAGCCATACGTTAATTTTATCAGAACATGTATCAGGGGAGGGGGTACTCACCTATTGCGAAGTTTATTTTTCAGACATGTATACTATACATGTTGCAAGTGTAAACGCAGTGTTAAAAATCTCAAGTCCCCACGCAGACACTTAAGTCTCCACACTGTCACTTTATCTAGATCATAACCAGATACAATTTGTCCTCAATAATTCTTCAATGTATAGCTGAGTATAAGTCTAGTGAAGAACATCAGCAAACACATCAACTAGAACATCAGGCAATTTCATTTACCCAACTCCACATTTGTCACATTAACCCAACTCCACATTTGTCACATTTACCCAACTCCACATTTGTCACATTTACCCAACTCCACATTTGTCACATTTACCCAACTCCACATTTGTCACATTTACCCAACTCCACATTTGTCACATTAACCCAACTCCACATTTGTCACATTTACCCAACTCCACATTTACCCATGTATTTAGATAAGTTTTTTATCTCTGTAGCTTGTTATGGGTCATCCATTTATGATGTCCAGACGGGAAGGGGGGGGGGTCCGAAAAAAATTGACTTTTGTGGATGGGAGTGGACTTTTAAAAGGGAATTAAGGGGGGGGGGGAGGTCGAAAATCCCAAAAAAATGTGGACGTTATAAATGGATGACCCCTTATCAGGTGTTGTTACAGTTTTTGGAATAAGAAATTCAAGTCTTGTTTTTTTTTTTTTTTTTTTTTTTTGTAAAGCATCGCTGTGTTACTGCATTTGATGTTGTCTATAAAAATGATTCATCTACTAACTATGCATTCATGTTTGAAGAGTTGATATAGAGGGGGAAATGTTACATGTTTGAAGTTTTGATGTATGAAATTCGGTAGAGTTGTTACATGTTTGAAGTTTGGGAGATTTGCTACATGTTTGAAGTTTGGATGTTTGAAGTTTAGGAGATTTGTTGTATGTTTGAAGTTTGGGAAATTTTTTCCATGTTTGAAGTTTGGGAGATTTGCTACATGTTTGAAGTTTGGATGTTTGAAGTTTAGGAGATTTGTTGTATGTTTGAAGTTTGGGAAATTTTTTCCATGTTTGAAGTTTGGGAGATATGTTCCATGTTTGAAGTTTGGGAGATATGTTCCATGTTTGAAGTTTGGGAAATTTGTTCCATGTTGGAAGTTTGGGAGATTTGTTACATTCCAGACACCACTGACTAACACAAGGAGCTAGATATTATCTGTGGTCAATTGTTTTATGGGTTGATGGTTCCTTCTTTTCTTTCACTTATTAAATTTACTCAACGTCCAGAATAATATTTAATTTCCTTTTGTGTTGACTGCCCATTAAAATTCCCTTTTAGTTGACTGCCCATTAAAATTCCCTTTTAGTTGACTGTCCATTATAATGTCCCTGTAAGTTGACCCGCCATTAAAAAGTTGAATACAAATTATACAACACTCTGTTGTTTGTTGACAAATTTGTTTGAAAAAATCTTTTCTAGAAATTTATTTGGGGATTGCATATTGGAACATGGTTAATATTTTTATGCTTTTTCTAATATATGGTTGTGTGCATATCAAAATATGTTTTTAGAAGACAAAGCAATATTGAGGACAAAATCTTGTAAGCAAATCTTGTAACCCTACAAATGTACCCAAAGAAAATTTCAAAATTTTTCGATCCATTATAATAATGCACTAGGGGAGAAGAAATTAGATGCTGTGCATTAAATTATCAAATAGATGCAACCAGTAAAATAGATTTAGTATTTAGCCAGAGATATTAGGTATACTTGTTTAAGAATGCATTAATTTATCAATATGCAATAAGTAAACTAAATGAAGTGTCCCTAGAACCATGTACATAGAAGCTGTGCCTTGGGGAAACTTTCTTGTAGTCTGTGGTGACAGATTGTTTTAAACTCTGTTGGCCATAAGTCAATAACCAATCATGTTTGGATAAACTCAGTCAATAACCAATCATGTTTGGATAGACTGTGATTATCTTTAGCCTGGTTTAGAACTTATGTAACTTGTTTGTCTTTCATACATTTTAAATTGAAGTAATAAATCATTTTGTTGTTCTAATGTGGTCATCATTTTGTAGTTCTGTTCTCTTGTGTTATTTGATTGTTTTTATCTCCATATCTGTTTCAACCTTTTCAAACATCTGCAAAAGACTGTATGTGGGGTCATCCATAAATGACGTCACACTTGTAGGGGGGAGGGGGTCCGTTATTTTGTGACGGTGTGTGATGAGGGGGAGGGGGGTTCAGATGGTGTGACGTCACTTTTTTGCATTATAAAAAAGCAAAGTTAGGAAACGAGTTTTGGCGAACGTTTTAGAAAACTGTTTTAATAAATTGTAATGATAGTTCTGGCAAGATTTTGGGGAAAAATCGATGATTTAAGAAAAATTCAACAGCAACTTTTAGGGGGGGGGGGGGGGTTGACGGAGGGGGAGGTAAAAAGCGTGACGTCATTTATGGATGACCCCTGTTGAACAGAACTAGTCCACCCCCTCTTCCCCCCCCCCCCCCGCCACACACACACTTCTTTTAAGTCCATCAGGGAAGAATGGGAAAGATAGATCTACATCAAAACTGAAACAGAGGTCACATATTTGATGATTTGTTCAACATGACCCCTAGACTAAAAAAGACGTGGCACATCCATTCATACAGCAAATTTTAAACAATACAATTAAAAGCAGCGGTTGGCCTTATGTTGTGACATGTAGACACAAAAGGTCACTATAGTTTGATCAAGCCACGTCAATTAAATGAAATCAATTAGATCTAGAAATCTAGATCTAGTAGTCACGCACTGGTTTATAAGAAACAACAGCCAACGTCCTTGCTCAAATAGTTTGTGCTTAACAAACATCTGGCAGGGTCAGGGTGCACCTGGTGATTACACAGTTGTTTCCACCTGGTGATTACACAGTTGTTTCTATATTGAAAGTAAGGCTTTGTGCAAACTAAGTAACTAGTGTTATTAACACTGTGTTACTTACTGTCATTTTCAAGCTACACGACAAACTTAACACACTGGGTGACGCCCGACTGTTAAGTAACTCCAAGGCTAAACTACAAAAAAATCATCCCTTTTTTCTCCCCGATTAGCGGTAAAACCTTAAGCGTCGTAAATTCGGCCCAAATTACTATTAGTTATGTGGTGGGGGCATGTCTTTAAATACGAGTTTATTTTCGTATATTTTAATAAAAATCCTTCGTTTAGCGTCGTAAATTCCAACGAAGCTAGATCTAGTAATGTGCGGTGGAGGTAACTAATAGATTTTTCTTTCAGTTGGCAATATTTAGAACATACTGGTTGTAATAGATTGAAATAATTGTGAGGTCAAGGGAACTCACTCTTCTGTATTAGTATTATATTTATATTGTTATCTTGAGTGATGTCCCTTGAGTACTTCCTTCCGTCCTCTCTGGTATTACCATCGTGGTAGTTAGACCCATTAAATGTGTTATATACAACCACAGGCTTCTGTCGTCAATCTATTATAACTGGCGACGAAGGATAAACATCTACTAGAAAGAGCACCTACTTACGCAAAAAAGAGGTTTGCTAGAGCTTATTAGCTAATTATTTCTAAAATTATGGCGCTGTATGGCCAAATGAAAGAATTTGATGCGAATGATGAAATCATTCAAGATTACCTAGAGAGGTTAAGCTTTTACCTAGAAGCTAACAACGTGACGATAGAAGCCAAAAAGAGAGCTGTTTTGTTAACAGTCATAGGGCCTCAACAATTTAGGCTACTAAAAGACTTATGCGCACCAGCTAGTCTAAATACCAAGAGCTTTAACGAGCTGAGCAAATTGCTAACAGACCACCATGCGCCTACCCCATCAAAGTTTCTATGTCGAGCTAGATTTGACAGTAGGACTCGTCAACCAAACGAGTCAATATCAGAATATGTTGCTGCTTTACGTCATTTAAGTAGATTTTGTGAATTTGGAGACACGCTGTCTGACAGATTATGTGAAAAGTTTGTGACAGGTGTAAACAGCCCTGATATTCAAAGAAAGTTGCTGCTCGAGTCAGATCTAACATTAGAAAAAGCAATACAACTTGCAATGTCATTCCAGCAGTCATCAGATGCGGCGAGATCTTTAGCACCTTCAGAGATCCATGCAGTAAACAGCAGGTTAGTCAATAAACATCAACCCCATCAGAGCATTCCAACTTATGCTAAACAGCCTGCTCGTTCAAATCCTAGATCTAAATCTAGTGATAATTATCAAAAATGTCATCGATGCAAAGGTCCCCATGCATCTCATCGGTGCAAGTTCAAGTCTGCAACTTGTTATAAGTGCAGTGAGCAAGGTCACATTGCCAAGGCCTGCTTTGCAAAGTCTTCGTCTGTTGCTAAATCTAGCCAGTCAAGACAGTACCGCAACCAAAGGCAGCACTATGTTAACTCTCACCAAGACTACCTACTCCAACCAATGAACCACTCTACCTGTGAAAATGCTCAAACTGATTCGCAGCCGGATTTCAACCTATTCTCTGTGAAATCAATAAGTCATGCTCCCATCAATGTACAAGTTAATATCAACGGTAAGAGCATAAGCTTCCAACTTGACACTGGAGCATCTCTAACAGTCATCACAAAGAAAGATTTTGACGCTGTCATAGGAGGATCAGTGCCTCTACAGCCATGTCACAAGTGTCTAACAACATACACTGGTGACAATGTTCCGGTAATAGGAGAGTGTATGGTTCATGTAAGTTATAATGGTCAAAGTGTTAAACTTCCTCTTCTTGTGGTTGAAGGAAATGGACCGCCATTACTAGGTAGGAACTGGTTAAGTAATCTTAAGTTAAATTGGGAGAGTATTTGTTCATTGAAGAATGTAAAAGAATTTAGTCTTACTTCACTAGATAAAGTTATATCTGAAAATAAATGTGTTTTTGGTAACTCTGGATTACTAAATGATAGAACAGTGAAGTTAAGCATTAAAGACACAAATCCAAGATACTGCAAAGCTAGAGTTCCACCTTATGCAATGAGGAATAAAATTGAAAATGAGCTAAGTAGATTGGAATCTAATGGCATCATAAAGAAGGTAGACTATTCCGATTGGGCGACACCCATTGTGCCAGTGTTAAAGAAGGATGGTTCTATAAGAATTTGTGGAGATTATAAAACTACACTGAATAAGCAAATAGAGCTAAATAGGTACCCTATACCTAACATTGAGGAAATCTCTTTGAATTTGGCAGGAGGAGACAAATTCACTGAATTAGACTTTAGTCATGCTTACACTCAACTAGAACTGCATCCAGATTCAAAAGTCTATACGACAATAAACACACATAAAGGACTCTACCAATATGAAAGACTATGTTTTGGCATATCATCTAGCCCTGGAATTTTCCAAGCTGTCATGGACAGTATTTTTAAGGATATTCCAAATGTTTGTGTGTACTTTGACAATGTGTACATAACTGGTAAGAATGACACTGAACATCTTAAAACACTTGATAAAGTATTGAAAATTGTTGGTGAAAAAGGTTTAAAGATAAACAAAGATAAATG